ATTCAGAAAATGAGACACATTATGGCCAGGAATGTGACTTTTTTTTTCCCCCTTGGTACCAGGAATCACACTCATGATCTTATGCTTGCCAGGCAGGTGTTGTGCTGCTGAGCTCTATCCCCAGCCCAGGAATGTGATATTTATCCTTTTGTTTTGTTTTGTTTTGAAACAGGATCTCTTTCACTATGTAGTTCAGGAGGCCTGGACTCACTAGGTAGCCCAGGTTAGCATCACACTCACTTTTTGCCCGCCTTAGCCTCCTGAGTAATGGGATTTTCCTGCCTCAGCCTCCCAAGTGCTGGGATTATAGTCATGTGCCACCATGCCTGGCTTATTTACATAGTTTTGAGTTGTCTTCAAAATGGTGATCCAGGCAGCATGTTCTCACTGTCTGCCGGGCCATGCATCTGGCAGGCCAGCTGAGAACGCAGGTCATTGACCTGTGTTGGAGGCTGTGATCTGCTGCCCACTGACCCTCCACCCCGGGGATGGACGTTTGCAGGAGAAGTACACACAGAGTGAAATGCCCTGAGCCCAGTGTACAGGCGTGTCATGTCTTTAACTTTTGTGTCCTGAGGCTGTAGTTTTTCTTAAAAGCACGATTTTAAAATTACGGGTTTCCTTGAGTGCTTTCTGGCTGTCTGTATTTCTGCCCCCCCATCTCCACAAGGGGGTGGGCGTCACCCTCGGTGTCCAGAGTGCTGCCAGATGCCTGAGCAGATCGCTGTCCGGAGCAGCGGTCACTGGACCCTCTGACCGTTCCCAGCCCTCCCTGTGCAGCCAGCTCTGCCCTCCCCGGGAGGTCTCAGCAGGGAGTGGGAAGCCACTTCTGCTCTACTTCCGCAGACGGCCCAGCCACGCCTTCTTCTTGCAGCTGCAGCCGGGGCATGGAGGTCCCACTGCACCATAGAAAATGCTGGGGTGAAGCCTTCTTTCTTCCCAAACCGGAAGGCTGGGTTAGGATGTTCTCATCTCAAATTCAGGCCATTTGGCAGACAGCGAATATCCTTTGGAGCGTCCAAGGGGACCTTAAAGTGCTATGTGACGGCAGGGATTCTGCACATTTAAAACCACAGACAGAGAAGTGGTTTAAAATGAAATGAAGCCAGGCATGGTGGTGCACATCTGTAATCCCAGCACTTGGGGGACTGAGGCAGGAGGGTCACTGGGAGTTTGAGGCCAGCCTGGGCTACACTGGTGAGACCTTGTCTCAAAAAAACCCAAAGCAATTTTTAAAAAATTCAGTGCAAGTCATAGAAGTGTATGACCCAAGCACCAGCTGGGGGTTAAGCTGTTTCCACCTGGAAATCCTGGTTGAGAGGGCAGCAGCACATTTTTTCCAGGATAGTACATCAGGTGGTGTCCTGTAGACAGAAATCTCCCTTTTCTGTCTCTACCAGGCCTCTAGCTCCTGCCCTGGGGTCTTCTCTCCTCTGAAAGCCTCTGTCCTTCAACCCTCTTGGGCCTCAGCACTTCCTGTATGATTGTGAGGTCACCCCAGGGATTTATTTTCAAGGACACCAGTGTCTGGTCTCCATGGGTGCGTACCATACAATGCCAGGTGAAGCCACTGATAGAATAGGTACAGGAAATGTGTTTACCTAATGATGTGCAGCATTTGGAAATAGTATATTAGAGGTAGGCAACTTTATTTTAGTCACAGACAAATTCCTTATAGGGCTACAAGTGGCCCCAGTCCAACTAACTACATCACCTCTGGATGAGCAGTCCTTAGGGCAGAGCTCTCTTATGTGTATCCTCTACACCCTATGCAGCCTGCCCTAGCGCATGGTTCATAGTGCACTCTATAGGTGTACAGCAGGATGAAATGTTCCCCTCCTGTAGCTTATGACCTCAGGGCTCCCTGTGCAGTGTGTGGACCTGCTATAATTCATAACCCTAAACCACTGGGGTAGATCTATTTGCACCTCTACAATGACCCCTTCATTGAATAGACTAGGGTCAGCAACTCTTTCCATAAAGGGCCACGTAGCGGATATCTTAGGGTTTGTGTTGCAACTGAAATCTGCCTTGTCATGCAAAAGTAGCTATAGACAATAAGTACAAACAAATGAACCTCACTGTGTTCCAATAAAACTTTATAGATAACACCAGGCATGGTGGTATGTGCCCGTAGTCCCAGTACTTGGGAGGCTACAACAGGAGGATGATTGCAAGTTCCAGGCCATCCTGGGCTACAAAGTGAGTTCAAGGCCAGCTTGAACTGCATAGCAAGACCCTGTCTCAAAAAGACAAAAAAGAAACCCCCAAAAGCAAAAAACCAAAAAACCCAAAAAAACAACAACAAAAAACTTATGGGCTTTGAAATTTGAATTTCATATAATCTCATGTGTGATGAAAATTTTTTTTATAAATAATTTATTTATTTATTTTTTTTTTAAAGAAATTGCCTGGCCCCCAGAATTTATTTTCTTATTTTTTTTATTTTTTATTTTTTATTGGTTTTTCTCCGGTACCGGGAACCGAACTCACGACCTTGCACTTGCCAGGCAGGCGCTTTGCCGCTGAGCTAAATCCCCAGCCCCTCAGAATTTATTTTCTGACTTACAGTGAGTGAGTTACCCTCCTTCTGTATTTTGTAGACTTTCTTTTCTTTTTGGTCTTTTTGTTTTGTTTTTGTTTTTGTTTTGTTTTGTTTTTGTTCTTTTTGGTCTTTTTGAGACAGGGTCTTGCTATGCAGTTCAGGCTGGCCTTGAGCTCACTTTGTAGCCCAGGCTGGTCTCAAACTCACAACAATCCTCTTACCTCAGCCTCCTAAGTGCTGGGATTATAGGCATGTGCCACCATGCCAGCTAAACAGTTTAAAAATGTAGAAACTATTCTTAGTTTACAGGCTATACAAAAACAGGGAATGGGCTGAATTTAGCCAGCCAATTATGACTTATATCCTGTTATAGATGATTTAGAAGACTGAACCCGGCATGATGGTACATGATTATGATCCCAGTACTTGGGAGGCTGAGGCAGGAGGATCTCTGTGAGTTTGAGGCCAGCTGGGCTACCTAGTGAGATCCTTTCTCAAAAAACCACCCACCCAAAAAAAGATTGCTTCTAACTTAAAACTCTTATGATTATTATACTTAGATTGACAAGGGGACCAAGGATATAGCTCAGCGGCACAAGCGCCTGCCTGGCAAGTGCAAGGTCCTGAGTTCGATTCCAGGTACCCCCTGCCAAAAAAAAAACCCCAAGAAAACATAAAGTAGATTGACTAAAAATTAAAGTCCTGACTTAATATGTTTTAAGCTAGTGGCATACTATAAGTATTCATTCTATTGATTAGTCAATTTACATAGCATTTGCATTGTATTAAGGAATACAAATAGGTAACCTAGAGATAACTAAGATTATGCCATAGGGTGTGCACCAGTTATACACAAATACGAGAGCATTTTACATATGGGACTTGAGCATCTGGGGGTTTTGGTACCTGGGGGTCTTGGACGTACAGTAATCTGAGGGCGCTGAAGGATGGCTGTTTACACGTCTTGTCCTCTCAGCCTCTTTCACAGCCCACCGGAGGAGCTCTGCTGTTCTGCATGATCCACAGAGGATCTTCACCACTCCCATTCACCGGCTCTCCCTCCAATGCTGTGCCCACTCAGGGTGCTTCTGAGTGAGGAGACTGGCAAGCCCTAGGCCACTGTGGGGGGCCTGGCCTCTTATTTCTCCGTTGCTGCTGATGGAGCACCGGCCCTTGAGCATGCAAGGGGGCGCTCTACCGCAGAGCTCCACACCCGGCCCTGTCCTTTCACCTCTTGCACCCTGGATGGCCAACTGCACAACGCCTAAAGGAAAAGCAGCCAACTTCCCACCAGCAAGACTGAGCCAGGCCAAGGAAGAGAAGGCGGCTTCACCAACCAGTGCTAAAGTTTCCTCAACCTACAGATGGCGCCTCCTCATGCCCTGCTGAGAGAAGGCAGCCAGCAGGGCTTCTGCCCAGAGCCGGCCTGCCGGCCACTGTGTTCCTTGAGTGGACATGGGGGGCATCCACGCATCCCTTTCCTAGAGTCATAAAATGGGCATTAAGCATGTGTCGCTTGAACAGAAGAGCCCCCCTACATCACCGCCATCAGGTTCGGTGTGCGGTGGAAACCACCACGGATCAGCTCATTCTCTACAACACAGTGCTAGTCACCCCATAAACCCAGTGAGAAAGTCACCACTCTTAAAGGAATCTCTCTCTCTCTCTCTCTCTCTCTCTCTCTCACACACACACACACACACACACACACACACACACACACACAGTGTTCCTGCTGAGCTGGGGGGGGGGCATCAGCCCTACGGGGTGTTACTTAAGAAGACACAAGTTTACACAAAGAGTAAATTTGTGTAATTTACACAAGTTAATTTTACACGAGTAAATTTCAGAAGCTGAAATTCAGCAGAGAATGGGCCAAAATAAAGCAGGCAAAGACTGCACAGAAAGTATTTAAAAACTTCCCTATACGCTCCTTTATTTTATTTCTAGCTTTTTAAAAAACTTAAATTATTAGAAAAATCTTTACAAGATTACTTACGTGTGTGTGTGTGTGTGTGTGTGTGTGTGTGTGTGTGGTGCTGGGGACTGCACCCAGCGTCCTGTGCGCGCTAGACAAGAGCTGCACCCTCACCCCAGGGGGAATCAATTTTAAGCCAGCAAACGGGATGGTGCCTACAGTTCCTCCTTGGGACAGGCTGGGACAGACCGGGACAACTCAGCTGTCAGTTCAAAGACTAGCCAATCTCCTGATGGCCTGGACCAGCCAACAGGGGAAGCCAACGGTGTGTGCCGCAGTCATGTTGCAGACAAGAAATTTCATGCCTTTTTAGTGTTTAAAAGAAATCTTAATTTTTTTGAGCTATTTCTGCAGAATCATCCTAGGAACCTGTATGATTCAGAAATTTTTTTTTTTTTTTTTTTTTTTTTTTTTAAACAGGTCTTGCTATTTAGCGGAAAAATGAGTAAACAACAATGGTGATCCTCCTGCCTCAGCCTCCCAAGTTCTGGGATCACAGGTGTGTGCCACCACGCTCGGCGATTCAGGAAGTTCTTAGAAAAAGTCCTAAGCTGTCTTCTCCCGCAAGACGCTCAGCACGGCAGGCTCCTGAGGCAGGAGTTGGGGAGTGATCTATGTGGGTTCCAGGCTGGATGTCATCGGTTTCCCTGCTCAATGTCCTCCTGTGGAGTCTCCTGGCTGGACCAGTGCTTTGGTTCAAAGTCTTCTCCCTCCTTTTCTGGAGAGGAGATGATGGATACAGAGTCCCAGGCATCATCCTTTGGCCAACTGTCCTTGTCCAAGACCTCTAGGATGGGCTGAGTGGGATCCTTTAAGTACTAGAAAAGGTTGAAAACCAATATTGTAATTAGCCTATCAGTTTCGTATACCAGACCTTTTACTTTTGATTCAGGTGTAGCTTTGTTCTGTTCACCTATGAAATAAATTTTCATTTGTTTTTCTACAGTGCTGGGATTGAACCCTGAGGCTGGTGTATGCTAGATAAGATACATGCTCTACCACTGAGCTACATCCTGGGCTTGAAATGATTTTATATGTAAATACCCCTTCACCCTTATGTTTTTTTTTTTTAAAGAGACAGTTTCACTATGTCGTTCAGATTGGTCTCAAGCTCACTAGCTCAGGCTGGCCTTGAACTTGAGGGGTGATCCTCTTGCCTCAGCCTCCCAAGTGCTGGGATTACAGGCATGCACTACCCTTTCTTTAGGGTGATCACCCAGCTGACCCCTCATTTTAGCAATAACTTTAATACTAATCCAAGGGCCAACCATATTAATCTGCTGAAAGTCGTGAAGGACATAACTCGGGAAAAGCAAGCAAGGGTCCTCACTGCCCCTGTGTAGATGTGTGGATTACTCATCCTAAAATGTCTTTAAAATGTAACTTTTGGGCCAGGGATATAGCTCAGTTCCATTCCTGACACCAAAAAAAAAAGTAACTTTTAGCTGGGCATGGTAGCAATGCCTGTAATCCCAGCACTCAGAATGCTGAAGCAGGAGGATCATTGTGAGTTTGAGACTAGCCTGGGCTACAAAGTGAGCTCAAGGCCAGCCTGAACTGCATAGCGAGATCCTGTCTAAAAAAAAAGGCAAAAAACCCTCAAAAAAGTAACTGTTCAGGGAAGGACAAAAGGGAACCTAAATGTCCCCCCGCACCCGCCCCTGTTTCTGCCTGAGACACCCAGGCCCTGCCCTGTGGGCCCTGGCTGGAAGGCACATTTATCTCCCTGCCCGAGCTTGCCCTTTCCCTCGTGTAGCCGTCCATTCCCAACATTACCAAGAAAACCAGCCCCTGGCTCTTGGAAACCTGCAAGCTGCTAAGTACAGCGAGTGCTGGTTGATGACTGGAGGAACACACAGGAATCACGTGCCTTTGTGAAACCTCAGAAATCAAAGCGAAACATGATTCACTCTTCTCATCTAACTTTGGCAGATGTTTTTTCACACTTTCCCAGGAAAGCCATCCGAAAGCTTTTGTGTTTTACATTCACGCTCAGGGGCGTGATTCAGAGTAAACCCACTTCCTCCAGCCCAGCTGGTGGTTCTCCGGAACAGAGTATTCGGAGCATAAATTCTGAGACCCATCCACCGCTGTACTCCCTTACAGTGTTAATCCGGGAGGGCCTACTGGGAACTTTACATAACACCCCTGTCCTTTCGGCAACTACATCCGGACAGAAAGAGGAACAAGGACCACGGTCCTTCCTAGCGGTGCCACTGTTCTGATAGTTGGGCTCCACGGAGCATCTATTCATTCTAGAGATATCAAAAGTAAGATTCCATTTCTCATCCCTGTGTTCCAAGTTTATCAAGGAATCACATAAACTCTCTGGAAGCAAATGCTTTTCTTTTTAAAACAGAGTCTTGCTATGCAGTTCAGGCTGGCTTGGACTCACTGTGTAGCCCAGGTTGGCCTCGAACTCACAGCGATCCTCCTGCCTCAGCCTCCCAAATGCTGGGATTACAGGCGTGTGCGCCCTCACAGCTGGCAACTCTGTGACATTTTAACGCAAATCTCTGGGCCCCAGGCCCTGCGCCTTCTGCGGCACTGGGGGAGGTGCACGTACCTCTTCTATCTGTGATGGGATGCCCGGTGGAGTGTGAAACCAGTACTTGATCAGCTCTTGGTATCTCAGGACCAGGAAGAAACAGCCCCCGGTCAGCGCCAGCAGCAACGCAAAGATTCCCACAGAGATCAGGATGATCTGCTGCAGCCTGGTGGAGGCTGGAAGGTGACGTCACAGTGAGCAAAATGATCCCCCACGCGATACCAATGCCAGTTCAGTCCTCACTGGCATTCCTGTCGCAGGAGAATGGCCCAGCCCCCTCCCTCTGCACTGCCTTATGCTTTTGTTTTTGTTTTTTTTTTGAGACAGGGTCACTATGCAGTTCAGGCTGGCTTCAGACTTACTATGCAGCTTAGGCTAGCCTTGAACTTTCAGTGATTCTCCTGCCTCAGCCTCTCAAGTGCTGGGTTTAAAGGTGTGCACCACCATGCCCAGCTCCACCTTAATGTGTTTTAAATTATCACTGGTATAAGATGTATTGAAACATACATGAACCTTGTGGGTAGATTTGGGTCCCAATCCCAAGATATCTCCTTATGTATAGATAAATATTAGTGTTTTTGTTTTGTTTGGTTTGGCTTGATTTTTTTTGAGACAGGGTTTCCGCTATGTAGTTCAGGCTGGCCTTGAAATCACTATGTAGCTGGGGCTGGCCTTGGAGACCTCATGGCTATCTTCCTGCCTCAGCCTTCCTAGCGTGCTGAGATTACAGGCATGCGCCACCATGGCCAGTTTAAAACAAATATTCTAAAATATGAAAAGATTTGGAATCTACAACATTCCTGGTCCCAAGCATTTTAGATAAGGGATACTTAGCCTGTAGCTAGACCCGGCTACTGTAGGCCTCAGCCCCAGCTCCTGGTACCCTCTTCTTCCCTCCTTTCTGGGTCTTCTCTGTCCCCACCACCTGTCGGTTCATAAATATTTCCTGTGCTCACTACTTTTGGAGTGTTCTTTCCCCAGCTCCTAAAGGACGCCAGGAGGATGCTTTACCGTCTGCTGCTGTTTCTTGGCAAAACGTGTTGCTGAAATTCCCAGGCTTCACGATCTTTGGAGTTGTCCAAAACAGTTGCGCTTGGACTTGTAAACAGTACACTCGGAACGGCTTCAGGTTATTCAGCAAAATGGAGTTGCTCGTTTCAGGGCCTTTAACCTACAGAAACAACACGGTGTGCACACGTGAGGCCCCCAGGGAGACGGGCTCACACCGCTTCGGGTGCTCCCCGCCCAAATTCACAGCGACTGTGACAGCCAAAGAGTAACGAGACGGTTTGAAACTCACTGCCTTCCAGGGGACACATTTTGTCTATGAAAACTGATGAGCAAAGTGATAAAAAATGCTGCTGGCTTTAGGGCCTCCAGGTCTCAGAAGCCCCACAGCAGCACCTGTAATTTAACAGATCCCTATTTCTGGGGTAAAATGTTCTCCTTTGAGATCAACGTCTTGTGTTTTATGGCTAATGCGATCTAGAGATCTTGAGTTAGCGGAAAAATATTTTGGGCAATAATGTCCCTTTCACCCTCAACCTGCTTCTAGCCTGAGCTGAACTGAGCTGACTGCTCCAATAGTTTCGGTTAAAACGACCTAAGGATTTGCCATCAGGAGACGGCTGGACTCCCGCTGTCCAGGGTGACCAGGCCCTTTTGACCTGGTTCCACAGTGCCAACCTTCCTGCCCGTCACACCCCTCACAAAGGCGGTTTTCCTGGGCACCTGCGGTTTTCCACGCGTTCCAGGCCCTCTCAGACCTGCTGGCCCCGTTCTCCGGGTGCCCCGTCTTCTTGGGGTGGGTTTCGACTTCACACATGCCCTCCTTGCACGGTGCTCAGTCCAAGCCTGCAGACCGAGGCTGTGCAGTCCCTGTTTTCTTTGGCCATGAAAAGTGGCCATGGAGGTATCACCGTCAAAGGGAGAGGAGAGTGGGACAAAGAGAAGCCTTCTCCCGGAGCCCCCCGGGTGTTTTTTGGAGCCTGATGCTAAGTAAAATGGAATGGAATTCCCAGCCTACGGAGATCTGCAAGGCTTAACTACACGGTTTGAACAGAGAGCTCCCCCAAAGTGCAGGGGTGGCGCAGGCTTCTGCAGCAACGCACTCGCGATGTCTGCGCCCCAGCTGCAGGGCTGGGGGACACGAGGGGGGGCCCTTCAGCTCCCCCCGTGGGGCGTCTCAGGAGAGGACTCAGACAGGCTCAGGGCTCAGCTTCCAAGAGACTCCCTCGGAGAGATGCTGGTTTCTTGGCCTAAATCAGTTTTCTTTCTTCTCCTGAATCAGAAACTCAAAAGAAAAGCAAATGAAAACAGAGAAGCAAAATGCTCTTGCCTGTTGGGTGCCACCTTTTCCCCAGTAGCGGGCGTAATAGGAAAAAGAGGCCTCTGCGGAGCTCCCAGTGTCAAAGGGAGCGGAGAACGTGACGATGAGGGAGCCTCCTCCAGGGGTCACCACGATGTTTTCTGGAGGCCCGATGGTAACTGAAACAGGAGCACAAACAAAACTGTATGTGGGCTGGGGATATAGCTCAGTGGCATATGCGCCTGCCTGGCAAACGCAAGGTCCTGAGTTCGATTCCCGGTATGAAAAAATAAATAAATAAAGGGTTAGGGATGTAGCTCTGGGTTTAATGCCTAGTACACAGAGCCGTATGTAACACACACATACGTGCATGACTGTGCAGATCTGCATACGCACACATCACAGCCCACGCCTAGTCCTCGCAGGGTGTACGCACATGCACTTGTGTCTGTAGGAACTGAGGCTGTACCCAGATGCCTGAACCTCCAAGAAGCTGCTCCGGGTGTGAGACGCACTTGGAAGGAACCCTCCAAGTGGAAGGTAGGAGCCTCGCCCCACTCCACTTGGTCCAGGCTCTCTGACCCCTGGGAGCAGCTCAGTCCAGTGAGGCAAGATCATACCGGGCAGGTGCAGGACCTTCTCTGGGTGACAGGCGCCCAGAGCCAGTATCTCTTGTAGCAACTCCACACGAGCAGTTTTCTGCCCAGTCACAAGAAATACTACACTCCACAAATCTTTCTTTTTTTTGTCTTTTTTGAGACAGGGTCTCGCTATGTAGTTCAGGCTGGCCTTGAGCTCATTTTGTAGCCCAGGCTGGTCTCGACCTTGTAACGATCCTCCTGCCTCAGCCTCCTAAGTACTGGCATTACAGGTGTGCGCCACCACGCCGGGCTGCACTCCACAAATCTCGAAGGCAGGGCTTCCCACTGTGTCTTCAAGATTGTCTCAGCCAAGACACTGTTTCGCCATCAGGGGTCGTTTGACCACAAGCAAGGCTACCAGAGCCACAGTTTATCATAGCTAGAGTCTCAGAGAAACACCTGGAGGGTTAAGCAACGGTCAGAGGGTGGGGAGGTTAGTTAGCCCTCATCTGTCATAAAGTTCCAACAGAGGTGAGCAAAAGTGCATTTACTAACTTTTTTATTTTTAGACAGAGGGCCAGGGGTACAGCTCAGCAGTGCAGCATGTGACTGGCAAGTGTGAGGTCCTGAGTTCTATTCCCAGTGCAAATGAAAAGAAAAGAAAAGAAAAGCAACAAGTATTTTGAGACAAAGTTGCTCTATGTTGCCCAGAACTCTCTAGAATTCCTGAGCTCAAGTGATCTTCCTGCCTCACCCTCCCAAGCAGCTGGGACTACAGGTGTGTGCCAGCATACCTAGCTTATATTTACTATTTTAAGAATGTTTGTCTCCTAGCTTCTGGTAACAGGAAGATTGAACATGATAACAGAAATGTTACTAAAGTGAATCTGTTTGTTACAGGTTTTCATGTAATTCATAGGACAGCTAAGCATTGTGACTCATGCTGTCCTATAAATGAAAGGTGCTGGTGTTTATCAAGTGAGCATGCAATGGTGTAATTAACTCGAGGAACTCAGATCAAAGTACAGGTTACAAAGCCAGGTGTGGTGGCACACATCTGTAATCCTGGCACTCAGGAGGCTGAGGCAGGAGGATCTCTGTGAGTTAGAAGCCAGCTTGGGCTACACAGTGAGTTCAAGGCCAGCCTGGACTACATAGGGAGGCCCTGTTTCAAAAACAAACAAACAAACAAACAAACAAACTAACCAAAAAACAACCCCAAACCAAACAAACGAAGTACATGTTGCATCCTTCAAGTCCTATGGGCACATTTTACATCAGGACAGAATCACATCTTGGAGCAGTTGGGCGGTCACGTGGGGCGGGGAGGGGACTGGTTTTCTCTTCCATTTCAACATCCTCCCCCTGGTGCTCCTAGCTGAGAGGAGGGGCAGGCACATGCTTTGGCCATACCTGTGTTTGTGCCACAGTAACTGCTCCCTGCAGAGACCGGAGCTGGACCTCTGACCTCCTGAGTGGTGATGGAGGAGTGAGGTCCAGAGGAGGCCGAGGGCAGAGTCAGGGCCCGGCCTGTCCCACCGCCAGCCAGGCCAGCCAGACCGAGGCTCCAGGCCTGGCTGCTGGGGACAAAGAGCTCTTTCTCTGCGACTGCTCACAGGCGTTCTCCAGCTTCCCTCGGCACAGCACGGCAACAGGGCTGCTTCACTGCTGCCGCCAGCTGCAGGCTTCCTGCTCCAGGGACGGGCGGCTCCAGGGAGCGGGTGGGTTGTGGCAGTCAGCCAAGTCTGGATCTGATCTGCTGATTAGCCTCAGCGCCGGGGCCGGGCACAATCTGCCACCCAGGGATGGGACACGCGGTATCAATGACAGCAGCTTCCAGGCATGGCGGGCATTGTCTGTGTATTCACACAGGATCTGCGCAGGCGCCGCACAAAGCCACGCCCATTTCAGAGGAGGGAGCCGAAGGCCAGGCTGACATTCCTTGTTCAGAGTAACCAGCCAGTAAACGACTGTGCTGGAAATAGGAACTCAGGTTTATGACACATCAAAGCCTGCTCCTCCAACCACTCTCCCATCCCTTCTCTTAGTAATCTTCATATAGGTTCTGATTCTTCTTCTTCTCCTTCTTCTTTTTCTTCTTTTTTTTTTTTTTTGAGACAGGTTTTTGCTATGCAGTTCAGCCTGGCCTTGAACTCACTTTGTAGCCCAGGCTGGCCCTGAGCTCACAGCAATCCTCCTGCCTCAGCCTTTGAAGTGCTGGGATTATAGTTGTGCACTATCACACCCAGTTCATAGGTTCTGATTCTAACCCTATGAAAAGTGGCTAAAAGCCAGGTGTGATGGTACACACCTGTAATCTCAGCACTCTGGGAGGCTGAGGCAGGAGGATGAAAAATTCAAGCCCAGCCTGGGCAATTTAGCAAGACCCTGTCTCAAAATAAGAAAAAAGGGTCAAGAATAGAGCTTAGTGTGAAGGCCTGGGTTCAGTCCCCAGTACTGGAAAAAAGAAAAAGAAAAAGAAAAAAAAACAACAAAGAGTCTTCAAGATTTGAGAACACTTTTGCCTCAAACTTGAAATTAGGGTGGAGAATGCCAACCCAGCCAGAAGCCAACCAAAAGCACAGCTGAGCACCTCAGGGTGGGAGGACAGGGAGGGCAGCCAGCTGACACTGGGCCATGGGTCCCCTTCTGTCACCAGCGCTTGTCCCCCGGGCAGTGGCAGTGACTACCATTTTTTTTTTTAGCTCCTAATTCCCACTGAGGTGATACTTTATAGATCAAATGTATGCTGGTTCTCTATTCAAGAACAAATCACCCTCCATAGAAGATGATCACTGCTGAGGATAGTGGCACATGCCTGTGATCCCAGCACTGGGGAGGCTGAGGCAGGAGGATCGATGTGGGTTCAAGGTCAGCCTGGGTTACAAAGTGAGTTCAAGGCCGGGATGAACTACACAGTGAGATCCTGTTTTATTTGTTTTTTTTTTTTTTTGGTTTTTCTCCAGTACCGGGAACCCAACACATGACCTTGCGCTTGCCAGGCAGGCGCTTTGCTGGTGAGCTAAATCCCCAGCCCCAAGATCCTGTTTTAAAAACAAATAAATACAGTAGGTGACCAGCCAGCAGGGGCCCCTTGTCTTTTCTGCTTTTGCTGCTGATGTCGTATAGCACAAACCGTCGTGCTTGTTCTACTTTTTACTACAGAAAATATTAAACATATGGAAAGTAGAGATGATCATAACAAAACCTCATCATACAACTTAGTTGATTATCAACTTGTAGCCTATTTTCTTTTTGTCCATATATTTTGCTCTTGTCCCTCCTCCTCTGGATTATTTTGAGTGAATCTCAGATATCCCATCATTTCATCTGCAAATACTTCAATAAGTACCTTTAAAATATTAACTGCTTTTTCCCACCTTTTTATTGTGTTAAGTTCACAAAACAGTATCATCCTAACCATCCATTAGGTTACCATCATAACTACCCTTTACCACCCCCTTTTAAAATCCAAATACTGCCTGTAATCCTAGCACTGGGGAGGCTGAAGCAGGAGGATCACTGTGAGTTTGAGGCCAGCCTGGGCTACATAGTGAGTTCAAGGCCAGGCTGAACTGCATCGTGAAACCCTGTCTCAAAGAGAAAAACAAACAAACAAAGAAATGGTAAATAAAGTCTTCATGCCCATGTTTTCTTACCATTTCGAAAGTGCTGAAACCAAGGGACCGTTGCCCAGGCAGACACACGGCATCCCAGCTCGGCTCGCACACGCAAGGAGACATTGAAGTCCTTCTGGAAGCCCCCGGAGAAGTTGGCCGTGGTGAATCTACACTCCGTCGCTGTGATCTGTGAGCAGTTCACCAGGCTGACGTCGTCCCAATTGTTAGAGGTGCTGGGGAGGAAAACACGACTTCATTTCACAGAATTCTCTTCTGCTGGTATGACAGTGTCCCTACAAACTCGTTGTTTATTTTATTTTATTTTTTAATTTGTTAAAAACTGCTTTAATTTTGCTTCTTGGCCTTTTGGCAAAGATCAAATATAAAAACACCTTTATTGAGAACTAATTGACACACAAGTGACCTCTTTTAAATCATAGTTCAGCAGCTTTAGAATATGCATGATGTTGTGCAAACATGATCAATTTTAGGATATTTTTGCCACTCCACAAATCAGTTTGGTAGCGATTAGCATTTTCCCTCAGGTGCCCCCTCCCCAAGTCCCAGGCAACCACTAACCTACTTCCTGTCTCAGTGCATTTCTCTATTCTCCACGGAATTATATATTAAGATGGAGTCATGTGACATGATTGGTGTTTTGTGACTGGTGCTTTTATCGGTTCCTTACGACAAGGGCCACTTATCTTGTAGTGTATATCCTGTCTTCGTTCCTTTTTTTGGCCAAATAATATTCCATCACATGGACAGATCACATTTTGTGTATATGTTTATCACTTGGTAGCCATAGGTGTTTTCATCTTCTGCCTATTACAAATGTGTATGTTTTTGTGTAGATGTGTGTTTCCAGTTCTCTGGAGCATCTATCTGGGAGTAGAGCTGCTAGGTCATATGGTAACTATGTTTATTTTTTGAGGACTTGCCAGACTGGTTTCCAGAGTGCTTACAACATTTTGTATTCCCACCAGTAATGTGAGAGAGTTCCAGTTCCTCCGTATCCTCTCCAACATCATTCTGTTTCTTTCTTTTTTTTCTTTTGTTTCTTTTCCGGTACCAAGAATCGAACTCACGATCTTGTGCTTGCCAGGCAGGCACTGTGCTGCTGAGCTAAATCCCCAGCCCCGGTTCTGTTTCTTTGATTACAGCCATCCTAGCGTGCATCTACACTTGGGTGCCAGGGGTGTGTCACTGTGGTGTGACTTGCTGCTCCCTCATGGATAACACTGTCACGCATCTTTTCATGTGCTTATTGGCCATTTTACATCTTCCGTGGAGAACTATCTAATTAAATCCTCTATTTTTTTTTTTTATTTTTGTTTTTTTTCTGGTACTGGGAATCGAACTCACGACTTTGTGCTTGCCAGGCAGGCGCTGTGCCACTGAGCTAAATCCCGTCCTCTGTCTATTTTAAGCTCAGTTATGTCTTTTAGTTGTTGAGCTGTAAGAGTTCTTTACATATTCTGTCTCAAGGTCCTTACCAGATATATGATGTACGAATACTTCCTCCCATTCTATCTCATAATTGAATGCCTCAAATTCAGCCTTGGCAGCCTGTCTTAGGAATGATATGGTGTGATTTCCACTCATACTTTCTGCTGTGGTGGACTCTGTTTTTGTCCCATAGCTGCCCCTTCAAAGAGGGCTTGCTGCATTCATTTGAAAACCCTGTGAAACACATGGCCACCCACCCTTGTTGCAGTGCGTTCCCAGAGTCCTGCAGCCACATCCCCATACCACCCTCTGGTCCTGAGCTCCAGGGACTGCTGCTCCTTGGGCTGCAACTCTGGCTTAGAAAGCCACAGACCCCTCTCTGTCCTGAAGCCACCGGCATATCACATGCATGTCACACCCACTTCTAAGTACACTTCGGACCCTGTCTGGTCTGTATCTTCTCTCCAAGTGGCAAGTGGTAAGCTAAAAAGCCATTTCTAGACATTTCTAGGGCTTCTAGGCAAGCTACCTGACACACACACATAACAGCCAGCCCTGGGGCCCAGACCCTAAGAGATACCCCAAATACAGTACAGGCCCTTCCTCTTAGGTTTGTGTGTGTGTGTGTGTGTGTGTGTGTGTGTGTGTGTTCCAGAAGGGATAACTTACTTTTCAAGATATAGACAGACTTAAAGCACACTAATGTCTTCTGTCAATCACAGATCAAAGGCTCACTCCTGGACTCACCAGCAATTGACCATTCATCACCTGTTCTCCCCTCTCCTCCAAACCTGCCTCTCTCTCTTGGAGTTATTTCTTCCCCTTCCCCCTCTTCCTCCCCAGCCTCCTCCTCCTCTTTCTCCTTTTTTTGTGTGAGGTACTGAGGACTGAACCCAAGGCCTTTGCACTGAGTGACGTCTTTTTTGTTTGTTTGTTTTTTCCAGTACCGGGAATCGAAGTCACGACCTTGCGCTTGCCAGGCAGGTGCTGTGCTGCTGAGCTAAATCCACAGCCCCGAGTGACGTCTTTTTTGTTTGTTTGTTTTTTTCTGGTACTGGGAATCGAACTCACAACCTTGTGCTTGCCAGGCGGGCGCTGTGCTGCTGAGCTAAATCCCCAGCCCCCTGAGTGACGTCTTTAGCCTCTTTTTTTATGTTTTACATTCTGAGACAGGGTCCCCCTCAGTCACTGCGTTCCCCACGGTGGCTTAAATTTGTAATCCTTCTGCGCTCTTGGTCCTCTTCCCATTTGCAAAAGCTTTATTTTCTTCACCCCCCTTCCATTCCTTTCTCTCCCACCCCTTCCTATCCCTCCACTCTTGTTCCCCCAGCCCTTGGAAAAGCCCTCCCTACCTCCTCTTTATCTCTCTACTGGTTTGCTCAGAACTAGTTTTAGAAAGTCTTTGTCAGAAGAGAGGCGGAAGGAGCACAAGCCATCTGCCTTTAAATGACGGCTGACACACGCGAAGCAGCAGTCTGAGGGGACCAGGATGAGTGGGAGGGGGGCTGCCTCCCCATTTGCTGGCAGAAGGTAAAATGCACACGCACCAATATTAACAAATCTGGAGATTTTGCTTACCAGAAAAAAAAAACAACAACAAAAAATCTCTCAATTTCTATTTGCTCTTGAAGATTCAGCTAGGTAGGCAGCAGGCCCTTTCGAGGTCACGGCCCATCTGGGTTGCTGTCCAAAGGTAAGACACTGTTGGCTTCACTTAAATGAACGATAGAGCACAGCCTCAGGGACAGAGCATCAGCCATCACCAGGTGCCTGGACTCCGTCAGTCTGAGGTTATTTACTCAGAAAGTTGTTCTGGCTTCTTGCAATGAACCAGTTTGGATTTCTCCTGCTGCAGCTTCTGAAGCCAGGACCTCCCATACATTATGGATATGCTCCACCAGTTTAGAAAAAAAATAAACTTTAAAGCAACGCTCATTGTGAAGAGCATAACATTAGTGTTCACTGCATGGAATCTGGAGCCAGATCATCCGGGTTCAAATGCTGGTTACTCAACGTCTGTTTCTTAGTCTACTTATCTGTGTAAGATGGGTGAACTTTGTTCTCTGCTTCCTGGAATTATCAAGCTGACTGAGTGGGTGGACATCAGGAAAGAACCTGGACCAATGCCCAGTGTCTAGGAGGCACCAAGTAAATATTTGTCAAAGGGAACCCTATTCCTATCTGTAAGACAGATTTGGAGTCTACAACCATCCACCCTCTTCCTTATTTTGTACACTGAGATGTTCCGTCCTTGCTGGGCCTGCTCTGGCCTCAACTTAGGACTAAGAACCGAAGTGTCTGTGGTGGGACCCGGAAGTGCTGAGGAAGAATTCCTTCTGTGAGGGTCTCAGTTCAGACTCAGGTCTTGCTATGCTTGTGCGTGTTTTCGGACCCAAGGCCCTTGGTGGAGGCTCTCCAGGCCCTCATGGTTCCAGCAGCCGTGCTGTGTGTCTGGATACTTGGGAGACCTTTCCAGCAGCACCTTGAGCCCTCCTCTGAGGCAGGAAGAACAAGGCAGAAGCTACACTTTCACCACACTCTTAGATATAGGCAGCCATTGGCACCAAGGAGCCAGGTGAGCTGCAGTACAGGCCCTGCACACTGGTGCTCCTGGCCAACCCCGTGGCTCAGAGTTGGTCCCCGGGAGTGGGCACATATGCCACACAAGAGCTCTGTCCAGCTTCTCTAGGCCATGTGTAAAATGTTAACTCAGCCTGTCACCTTTGGTCCAGCAATCCCTGTTCTAGAAACGTAAGAAAACACTCCAAGATGATTCGTGCATGAGGACATAGGATAGTCACCAGCCGTCAACTATCTATACCCAAGAGCCGGGGAAGGTTAAATACATCATGTGTAATACTTCATAGAATTAAACGTGCAATAAAAACATTTATGCTAGTAATCATATGAAAAAATGTGAGCATTTTAAAATGCAGTTAAAAGGAAGAAAAAAAAAGCAGAGCCCTAAAATATAAACTCTAGCTTTGTACTGTTTTTACACACATACACATTTTCAAAGAAGGCAGACCAAAAAAAAAAAAAAAAAGTTGGTCGTGGTGGTGCACGCCTGTAATTCCAGCACTCAGGAGGCTGAGGCAGGAGGATCGCTGCCAGTTCAAGACCAGCCTGGGCTACAAAGGGAGGTCAAAGCCAGCCTGAACTGCACAGTGAGACCCTAGCTCAAAAAAAAGCATCCATTTAGGGAAAAAAAAACCCAGAGAGAAAAACAGTAACATGAGAATACTGATTATTCTTGGAGTGTAGAACAATTGATTTTAATTTTATTTATTCTTTCTACTTTTCTGGGGTTTCAGATTTTTTTTAAACAAACATGTCTTGCTATTGAAATCAGAAAAGAGGAAAAAAATGTTTTGAGAAGACAGGTAGGGTGTGAGCCTTCCTGGCAGCGGTCCAGATGGGCTGTGCCCTCGAAAGGGCCTGCTGCCTACCTGAGTCTCTCTCACGAGCAAATAGAAATTGAGAGGGTTTTTTTTTTTGCTACTGTTGTTACTTTAATAAGCAAAACCTCCGGATTTCTTAATATTGGCAAATAATCAGGAAAAAAAAAGACACAGGATGAAAGGCATAAGTCCCATCAGCCTCAAAATTAATAAAAAGTCCCAAACATGTAAACATATCTAAAAGCAAAACTAAAGTAAGCTCCTTTTAAAACATTTCATGCATAATTGAAAAAAAATCAGTCTCAGTTTTGGTTTTCGGTGACCTCCCCCACCCCACTCCACGTTTTCTTTGGTAAAACCAACTTCTATACCTGAGAAAATATCTACAAAACACTTTCCAAATGCTAAACAAAGTGAAATAAGCTAGTCTATGATATGAAAACTGTCAAAGGGGTTTTAAAAAAAAAAATCAACAGCTAGGTATAGTGGCCTAGGACACTAATCCTAGATACTTGAGGGACTGAGGCAGGGAGATTCAAATTTTGAGCCTAGCCTGACAACACAGTGAGACATGTCTCAAAAAAAAAAATCAATAAAGTTTTAAAAATTATTATTCTTATAGTGGTGCCTCTAGTCAATTCATGAATGTACTTCCCTGTTTAAGGCTAAGGAATGTTAGTAGGTCAGCTGTGACTTCCTCTTACTAAAAATATCTTGCCTAGCGCTAGGAGATCAATTTACTGACTGCCAAGGCTGGAGCTAACATCAAGGCCATGTGACCTGGGCAGAGCCACACAGCACCACCTTTGGAATGTGCTTGGTTTGGTGCCCTGTGGTTGTCATCTTGAAATTCTTTTTTCTTTCAGTACCAGGAATTGAACTCAGGACCCCGAGCTTGCCAAGCACGTGCTGTGCTGCTGAGCTATATCATGGCCTGTCATCTTGAAGTTCTTAAGACTTTCTGAACAAGAGGCCCTGCCTTTTCATTGCTCAGGGCCCTGGAAATGATGTAGTCAGTCCTAGACGAATGTTTCACTTATGTAATTTATAAGTGCTAGAGGAACCGATAAATGTGAATCAGATTCAAATACTGTTACAGTGGACATTCAGAAATGAATCCGAAGCCATCTGGACACCCACTTCCCGAACCAAATGCTGATAAATTTGCTACATTCCCTTCTTATTCCCATAAATACATTCCAAATTTTACATAGTTGGAACTTCTACTGGATGACATATTATCCTTTTTTAGGGGCTTCCTTAAATTATTATTATTTAGCATTAGCACACTAAAATTATCCATTTCCCTGATGATTGGTATGAATATGCACTTTCACGTATATGCACTTTGTGAACATAGTATTGCTCTGGGTTTTACTTCTTTTTTTTTTTTCTCCTGATACCGGGAATCGAACTCACGACCTTGTGCTTGCTAGGCAGGCACTTTGCCACTGAGCTAAATCCCCAGCCCTGCTCTGGGTTTTTTGGGAGTGGTAGGCTTGGATTATCTACTCAGGGTAAAAGCAATATGGAAACTTCTGTGAGTCTTTCAATGTATAAATAATAAGTACAGAATTATTTTCTAAAAGGGCTATGCTGATTAATTCTATCAGAAGCAGCCTGTAAGCACACATCCATCAACCACATTCCCAGAGCACTGAGCATTAAGATTTCTTTACATTTTATTTACATATAAAATGACTTCGCCAATAATTTTACCCTAATCTTCAATTAAAGTGCTTAGTATGGTAAACAAAGGACTTGTTTGCCTGTCTTCTTTCCTTACCCGCTTATTGCAAATCAGCTGTTAAACTATGAAAAAGTGTCAAAGGACACAGGGCAGGTGGGGTACAGTAACATGATATTCAAAACAGAAAACCAGTTGAGAAACTGAGAATTCGCCGTAATTAACTGACTAAATTCTCAATCAAGCTAACTGTGGCCTGTGAGGTTAAATGGAGCAGATTTTCAAACCTGAAGAGGAAGACTGACTCCTGTCCTTCTAAGACAGGAAGTCAACCCTTGTCTCGAAACCAGTGAGTGCCTAAGCTTTCACCAAAGTGGGACGCCACGTGGTTAGACTGCCATGCTCTGACAGTTTCTGTTGTTTAAGCCTTTGGATGAGTGGGAGGTTGTGAAATCTCTGTCTTTGGAGATTTTTTTTTGTCTTTTTTTTTTTTTTTTGGTTTTTCTCCGGTACCAGGAACCGAACTCACGACCTTGCGCTTGCCAGGCAGGCACTTTGCTGCTGAGCTAAATCCCCAGCCCCGTTTTTTTTTTTTTTTTGGTTTTTCTCTGGTACTAGGAACCGAACTCATGACCTTGCGCTTGCCAGGCAGGCGCTTTGCCGCTGAGCTAAATCCCCAGCCCCTTTTTTGTCTTCTTGAGACAGGGTGGCGCTGTACAGTTCAGGCTGGCCTTGAGCTTACTTTGTAGCCCAGGCTGGCCTCAAACTTGCAATGATCCCCCTGCCTCAGCCTCCCGAGTGCTGGGATTATGGGCGTGCGCCACCACGCTCAGCTTGGAGATTTTTAAAAACACAAGAGAAGCACCTCTTCCTACGGATTTCACGACACTCTGACAGAGGGTGACTGGTAGAGGGCTCTCGCGTTGGGTACAACTCCCCCGGAGCTCCCGGCAAGGACAGAACAGAAACATCTGCTTACAATTTATTCTGCACCCGGTAGCGCACTGGTTCTGTGTCATTGCCTGCAGACGAAGATTCCCAGCTCAGAACCTGCTCGGCATTGTACAGGTGAATCTTTGGGTTCCGCGGAGCAGCCAGCTGGGAAAAACAGTCTTCAAAGGAATAGAGAACAAAGAGGGTGGAGGTGGGGAGGAAAAGAAGAACAAAGGAGAAAAATCAATTATAGAAACATTTTCATGGTTACATGCACACTGTCAAAGCCCACCACAGCGCCCGAATAGGAAGGGTATTACCTGTCCTCCCTAGGCATGTCCCCTCCCCACCTGCGGCTTCAAGAACGGCACTACTGACATTCGGGGGGTGGGGTGGGGGTGGGAGGAGGAGAGGCGCTGGGGGCCACCTCTCCAGTCTGGTTGGATTGGGAGCCTAGGCCTTGCACTTATAAGCGAATGCGGAGGAGTACTTCCTCCAGAGCGAAATCATGACAACGATCACACTTTCTCTGACTGAAAGATTAACGAGAAAAGCGCTGAAGGCAAAAAGAAAAGTTAAAACAACACGCTGTCCCAGAATTCAAAGCAGGAAATTCAAACCACAGGTTTTCAGTAAGTGCATCCAACAGTATGCAGAGGAGCCCAGCCCCGCTCTGCATCTCTGCGACTGTGGCCCAGAGCCTGAGCTGCCTGTTTGTTCACACGATCCCTTGGCCTCCACACCTGCCAGCGCCACCTGCCTCACTCCAGCTCCGCATCCTGCCGGCCTCTCCCCATTGGCGCCAGGCGGGCCGAGGAGTGTGGGGAGATTGGCCGTGGGCTGCTCTGCTGAGCTGGGAGCCGAGTGCTGATTCCGGACGGGCTGCAGCCTCCCGTGGGTGACCGCTGGGCTCCGAGACCTGTTCACCGCCTGCGCTAGGCTCCCGCTGCCCTGCAGCACATTACTCCAAACCTAGACACTCCTAACGGCCCTGTGGGTTATTCTGCAGCTCTGGAGCAGACGCCTGACACAGGCCTAAAGTCAAGGTGTTGGCAAGCTTGTGTTCCTTCTGGGGGACCCAGGGGAGAACACGTTTCCTCGCTTTCTCCGCTGCTGGAGGTGTGCATGTTCTTTGGATTGCGGCTCCTCCCTGCAGCAAAGCTGGGCCAGCTTTGTGCCTCCATCCTTGTGCCTCCATCCCTCTGTATCTCTCTCTTCTGTCTCCTCTTTGTCTTTCAAGGACCCTTGTCGTGACACTGGGCCTATGTGACCCAACAATCCAGGATCATCTCCCCATTTCAGGATCTTTAACTTACTCACATCTGCAAAGTCCCTGTGGCCAGGTTGGGCCAGATATTCTCAGGGCCTAGGGATTGGGGTGAGACCACTGGGGCCTAACACACTGCCCCTGCACCATCTCCCATCCTCTTCTGAGGAACCGGCAGGAATATTCTGTGCCCCCTCTGGTAGCACCCAACTCCCCGGCCTAAACATTCAGCCAAGAAAGGAAGTACCGCGTTACCCAGGGCTATCCTCCCAAGGCCTCCGCCGCGGAGTCCCACTTTGAGCCTCAGTTTCGTCACAAATAAAGAAACAGTACACCCTCTTGCAGAACTGTGAGGGGCGCACACGGAACCATAAGTGGAAAATGAATCAGAAGCTGCTCTCCAAGTTTCATTTTTGAGATATGACAACTCCAGGGTTGCCTTATTCTCCGCGAAAGAACAGCTGCTTCTGCAGGTGTCAAGCAGTTCCCGAGACACTGCCTGCAGCGGCCACCAAGAGGCTGCCCTACGTTGGGCACAGAATTCAATGGTTCTGACCTGTCAGGGGCAGAAGAGCGCATCCACCTCCCACCCCTAGAAATCTGTGTCCTATGAATAAGCTAGGTTACCCGGCAAAAGGAAATTACAGTTGCAGATAAAACTTACGCTCCTAATTGGGACATTTAAAAATAACTAGATTACTCTGCACTATCTGGGCGGGCCCAGTATAGCCACCAGGGTGTTTCTCTAGAAGCTGGCAAAGACCAGGAAACAGATCCTTCCACCTGGAGCCGCTAAAACCTTGACTTCTGCCCCATGTAACTCATATTAGACCTCTGCCCTCCAGAACTGTAAGATAATATGTTTGTGTTTTAACCACTAAGTTGGTGGCCACTTGTGCCAGTAACAGTAAACTAAAACAGTCCCCATAGGTGGCACCAGGGGGACCCATAAAGCTTAGGAGGGATGCAAAGCTCCACTCCATCTTCCTTCCCCATGGTCCTGGGACAGTGATTCCTACACCATTAACGACAAGAGAGATGAATGAGGCATAGCCTGTACACCTCACTCAAGCCACATAGCTTTCTTTTGCCAACCCGATGATCTACCCTAGATCCAGATGTTTTGGACTTTATATGTATTTAAGAATACACTACCCTGGGTCTGAACAGCATGGTTTGGTTAACATGTGACATACACATAATAAAATACAATTAATATTAAATTGATCTTCTAAAAAATTTATTTTCCCAGCACTCAGGAGGCTGAGGCAGGAGAACTGCTGCAAGTTCGAGGCCAGTCCAGGCTACAAAGTGAGTTCAAGATAAGCCTGAACTACACAATGAAACCCTATCTCAAACAAGACCAAAAACAAACAAACAAACACACAAAAATTTATTTTTGTGCTGGGGGGTCTGAACCAGTACCTTCACACTAAGCTATACCCCCATGCCTTTTTGTTTATTTTGAGGCAAGGTGTGTTGGGAGTGGCTGGAGCTGGATATCGGTCATATGTGTGAGGGCAGGACAGAGCCAGAGTGCCTCAGGCAGTCAAGCTACCTCAGTCTTGAGAAAAACGTTCTGCCTAGACAGTTTCAGTCATGAGTACCTAGGCAACATTGCCTCTCATAATACTAACTTTGCAGGGGTATAAATTAATGCCCCTACTATTGTTGTTCAGTCCTCCGGCTCTCCAAGGTAAAGAGGTTACTCCACCTGAGGGCAGCTTTTGTCTCTTGTTTTTATTTTCCTTATACCGTCATTCCTCCCTGGGCTACACTGAGAGACCAGTGAGTTCCCTACAAGGTGTTGCTAAGTCACTAAATTGCCCAGGCTGAGTTTGAACTTGCACTCCTCCTGCCTCAGCCTCCCAGAGTGCTGAGGTTACACTATGTAGGGCCAATCATTTAATCTGGACATCCCAGGGCCAACCCATCAGGATCTTTCTGTGCGGGCAGCATTATGATGAACATCAATAATCTCACCTCCAATACCCTAAAAATGAGAAGAAAACACTCCCCATTTCTCAGCCACAACCAGGAAGCCACCCTCTTCAGTAAATACTGGACGTAGATCATTTGTTCTTTCCACAAGTAATGGCTTTGCTTTCTTGAGAGTAAAGTGGGGAGATTACCCATTTCAAAAGAATAGTTGAGAAAACCGAGATAATATATACAAAGTGCTTAGCACCCTGTCTTAAGAATGATAGCTAACACTGGTATTCATTAACTTAGCCAGAAACACTCCAGCTATGTGACAGTTTCAATTTCTGTGATTATGGACAAACAGAAGAATACCTGAGTGCGGTGGTTTTTATGCTGTTGATTTATTGTCTTTGCCAATAGTCTCGAAGTGCATTAGAAAGTTTGGATGTTCAAATTACCAAGTAAAGGCGGTAAAATTCTGCAGCACAAGTACATATACAATCCACTGAAAAAGGAGGCAGCAGCTACCATTGTGACAAACAGAAACCTTAATTCTTCAACACCCCGCTAGTTAAGTAACTAAGTAGCCACTTGGCTTACTACATTTTCACGCTGTTGGTTATGTTTTCTATCTAGAGCAAATGGCTACCATTTAAATACGCTACAAAGTATGTCAGGTCCAATATTTTACATATACTATTCTTGTAACAACTCCAATGGTAGATATTATAAATCTTCTTTTCAAAAATTGTTTCCAGTATCCTTTGACCAGAACAACAATTTCATGGATTAAGGACAACTGTAAGTTACCATTTGCCATACTATTTTTTTTGTGCCAGGAATCAAACTCAGGACCTTGTGCATGCCAGGCAGGCGCTGTACCGCTGAGCTATATTCCCAGCCTACTATATATTGTTGATATTTTCACTTTATGTTTTGACTAAACAAATTTCTCTTAAATGTATGTCAGGATTTTTTAAAAAACTGTTTCATATAAAAATTTTTAAATTGCTTCTTCTTCTCTCTCTCTCTCTCTCTTTTTTTTTTTTTTGGTCATTTTGAGACAAGGTTTCACTCTGTAGTTCAGGCTGGCCTTGAATTCACTTTGCAGCCCAGGCTGGCCTCAAACTTGCAACAGTCCTCCTGCCTCAGCCTCCCAAGTGGTGGGATTACAGACATGCACCACCACGCCCGCCCGGCTCAAATTGCTTATTCCTAAGTGATCTTTTTAAAAGTGCTACTTTTAAAGGATCTGTGCACCCAGGAGTGTGAGCCACAGACCAATGATTTTGTGGAATACGACAAAAGTCAATCCTCAGAACGATGGACATGCACTTGCATGCTGGGAAGACCTCTGGGCTCACCCTAAACATGAGTTACAAACAGTTCCCCGCCCACCCCAAGCCCGGGCCCCACCCTCTGCAGCCCTGATACCAAGGCCCTCGGTGGACCCATCACACAGCTCCGAAGTTACCAAATGCCAGCTGAAGGAGGTTAGGGGAGGGGCGTACTTGGGTTGCTTAAGTTGTGAAGCTGGGAGCAGCAGAATCAGGATTCAAATCCATTTATCTGATTCCCAAGAAAAAATACCCAAGCAAGACCCATGCGCCTATGCCCCGCCTCCCGCCAGGAGAGAGGAAAGTGACAGGCCTGTCGGAGGGGTGCTGGTGGAGGACCCAAACCCCAACACACCCTTCCAGCGGGGAACTTTTACATTCCCGAGACTACTTGAGTGCAGTGCAACTTCGTGTTATCTCTACACCGGGAAAACCCCAGCCAAAGCACACTACACATAAACAGAGAGAAAGTTCTTTGTCACTCAAGCCTTTTGCTTTAGTTTTGAGGTTTAGCTCGTAAGTATCCTCAATTTGTGCCGGAGACAAGCAGTGTGAGTCCAGGTAAGGGGCCCTCTGGGAGCGGCAGAGCTGGGATTACAAGCCTGGCTCCGCCCACAGCTGCTACCCCTACACCAGACGGCCAGCAAAGTAT